TTCCATTTGAACTTGTCAGTCTTACTTTTAAAACAAAGCTGCCATTAGGGCTGCAATAATAAAACAAATACAGTCCAGTTATCCTTAAGCTGGAACCCCCCCCCTTTCTGGTTCTTATGCTCAGTTTATTTTAAGTGTTTTGGAGAGGTGTTCATTTTATTGCTCAGTTGTGGTGTGTGCTGCTGTTGGACAAGCAGAATGGTTGACCAGATCAGACTTACTCGGGCTCTGGATTGTTTTTGAGTCCTAGTTTACGCCAAGCTTCCTCTGGTGTCAGGTCAGGATTCTCCTCAACATCCAGCTCATGACTGTGGGGAAAAACAAAATACTGTGTCAAAACTATATTTTAACATTTATTTTCACACTTACGTCTACTTCTTTTTTAGTAGCTGAAGCCCACGGGAAAAACTACATTTTATATTTTCTCGTATAACTTAACAAGCTCATAGAATCCTACACAGTGCACTTCAAACTTTACTTCTGTGTCAGAAAAGGTTTAAGCTAAGGATCTGGTGGAAATGTGGAATCAAACCAGAAACATGAAGGTGCTACAAATACTCCACTTCAATATTTGATGTCCCTTTAAAGCCATGAATGTCATAATGTTTTTATGAAATTCAGTGTGATTATTACGAAGACAAGGAAGCATGTTTGCAATTAAGTTGTACAATCGATAACTATGACATCTGAAAATTTCAAGCAGCTTTATTGGACATGGATGGATTAGCACTAAACCTGGCTAAAACTGATTATTACCAATCAATTTCAATTATTATGTTATTATTGATATGTAGTGTGTGAGTCTGGCTCTATCAGACAGACACTGCATGAGCTGTGAAAAAATGAGAGAGGAAGTTTTTACATAACAGGACCTTTTTCAGAATATAATTAAGTCTATAACAAATCAACTGCAACAAATAACAATTAGGACAAGCTTAGCTTTGCGGAGAAGGAACAGACAGTTTTCAATTACTGTTCATTGCACATAGGATACATCATAATAAAGGCTTTACAACACATGATTTATTGATGCTCCATACACACACAATAAAAAAAACAAAAAAAAACACCTGCGTTTAACTTTGACATGTCCTCCTCCAGGGGGTTTGTCGCCATCGTCGTCATCTTCTCTATTTGACATCTTATTCCTTGAGCCGTACTGTTGGTCAGTGCTGCCCATAACTTGCTGGGAATCTGGGCCAAAACACTGAAGATATTTATCAGCAAACTCACACTGTACACTCATTAAATAAATGTGCATTATCCCAAATGTAATAATACAACCGTAGTATGCTATGTCAAAAATATCCAACTTGTATAGCTATATAATGATACATTTTGGGAATCAAGGTTCAACAAAGATGCAATTTTGCATATGAATTTGCTAAACTGATGTGAATTAGCTGACAGGGATCTAGAGTGCAACCATTTTGGTCGCGTGTGTACTGGCAGTAAAGTCCTGGTCCTTCATCCTGAGGAAGGGAGGAACGGTCAGCCAGCACAGCGTCTCATTGGAAGGTGTTCAGATTCTATACTTGGCGAAGAACCCACATAAGAGCCTTCACAAAACATCTGATAAAACCTTGAATTCCACTGCAGCAATCCAAGCAACCATTGAGCAACTACAGATCCTGCTGAGCAGGATTAATGTCTTGCTGAGAGCTACATGCTTGTTGCATGAACGGGCACCATGAAAGCAATATCTACAGAGTTAATGCCGAATCCTATCTGCCTGGAAATGTTATAAATGTTTCAAATGGTCACAAACATGGGCAGGCTTTCTCCAAGTGCTGCCAATCGTCAGTGTGATGATGACAAAGGGGCAAATAGTGTGTATAAAACTGGGAAAAAGACAGCGAGCTATGACGAAGACTGCAAAAAGCTCTACAATGAAAAAGATTGATATGGGAACATTTTATATACTGCATAAAATATATATCATTATGAAACTGTGGTGGGACAAACAAAGAATATAGTGTATATTGTGTGTAGTACTGTAATGAATGATGATGCGTGATGTGGCCAAGTGATGGCAGCTGTGGGAAGGTGTAAGTTACGAGTAACAGGGTAGTATTGAAAGGAGCACTTGTTTATCAGAGCAATTCAGATGGTGGATGTGATGCGCTATGAATTTTTAAGGAAGAGTGCCACTACTAGGACACACGCACACACACACACGCACGTACGTACGTACCTGTCTGTTTGGCTGTGTCCTGCTGAGAGGATGCAGCAGATCTTTTACGATGATTCCCACCATCAGAAGGATCGTCAGAGCCACAGAGCTGATCCTCAGAATGCTCGCTGATATCAGCCACATTCATACAGTCTCTGTGTATCTCTGAGGGAGTCACTGAGCTCCCACAAGTCTCTAATGTGCACTTCTGTCCAAGCAGATCTTTCAAAACCTCCACATCATCATGAAGGGCTTTCACGTCTCTCCGTTGGCTCTCCTCTCCAGTCTGTCCATCCTTCCACTCCGCTGAAGGTATCTCTATGCCTTTGTCCATCACCCCTGCCACTCCACCAGTGTTCCCATTACAGATGGATTGGTCAGTGGTCCAGCCCTGCCCCGCCCAGTAAGAATACTGCTCCCAGTACGAGTAGTAGGTGTCTGCAGCATGTTTGTCCCAAACAGCTTTTGTTTCTGGGTCGTCCCAAGGTGTGGTCACTGTTCCTTGATCTTCAGCAGAAAGCAGCTCACTCTCTGGATGTTTCTCTAGCCAGCTGCTCCACAGCAGAGCTTCACCCTGTTGAGCTTCAAGGGGTACGGAGGAGGTGGAGAAAATAAAGAAGCAGTATTGAATATTGGCCGCATTATGACATTTGAGCCAACTATGTCTGCTGATGAAGATGCTCACCATCATTGAAACATCAACACATCTATGTGTTTTATGTGCTTCAGTGAGAGACACATTTCATTAGGTTCAGTGGACAGCTACACAATAGTTGACTTTGCAGTAATCTTCATGTTATCCTGCTTACCCCAGTAGGTTTCCCAGCCAGCATCTTGGATCTCTCCCGCTCCTTGCTCCAGTGAATCATTCACTTGCCTCTCATCAACTGGGCCATTAAAGAGAGCAAAGGACGTGATTTCAATGGAGCTTCTCTTTTGTCTCTGGCAGTAACTTTGTTAACAGGTGCACAAAACCCTGTGTAATGTTTTCACTGTACAATTTCATAATCTATTTAGGAGGAATCAGATTAAGCCACTTGCTCTAACATCCTATCACATTTAGAAAATGCTTCTGTCCTATCCGTATGTGTAAATAGTAATAATAAATGAATGGGATTACCTTTGTTGTCAACATGTAGCTCTACTTCATCTTCCTCCTCTTCAGCTTGTTCTCCCAGGTATGTGGCAGGCTTCCTGTCAGACCTCCTCCCCTGTCACATGATCGTAAACAGGGACATTCAGCAGCAGCCCAAAACATTGAGCTCAATTCATTAGTTAATGAAAGTGACAAGGAGCTAGCCAGACTGTCTAGCAGTGTTTCTCACTTACTGCTCTCCTCTGGTCAGAGGAGCTGATGAAGGCCAGAGGCAGACCCATGCTTGCCATTAACTGCGCCTCTTCATCCAGCACCTCCTCTTCCTCCTCCTCTTCTTCTTCTTCTTCCTGCTCATCATCACCTGCCTCTGTGAGCATTTCAAACACAATCGTCTTTTCAACTTCTTGATCTTACCCTCCCTGTTAGATGCATTCTTCATTTCCACTCAGTCAGAACTTCAACAACACCCTGCAATGATTCTGAAGTCAGGTAACAGACAGAGACTGTGAGATGCTGTCGCACACACCTTGTACTGCAGTCTCCGCTAGTTCAGAGCTCAGCAGTCTGTTGTCAGAGCGGTAAAGCTCTCGGTCCCTGCACAGAGAAGGACACACAGACAGACAAAGCTGAAGACCAACAACAGTTCCGTGTACACCACACCATGGAGTGGCCGTGGACAGAGGAGAGACTCACTGTACGAAGGCTCTGGAACACAGACAGTGGATCGTCTCCTCCTCAGGCCGATGTCTCCTGCTAAAGAAGACATCTGCCACCACGGTCACCGGGCTGCTCCTCTCCAGCATCATGACAACGAGCTCACCGACTCTGACCCCGTGTGAGCCGGAACTAGCATGGCGACACTTCAGCAACATCAGCCGCGACTTCCGCCCGCATCCTTTCACAATAAGGTCTCAGTTTCCCCATAGTACTCTGTTGGTTCATTGAAACCCTTAAAACCCAGTCATACTGCCATACAGTCTTAAAATGAGATGTCAGTTTTGTGTTCAGCTCTGCTGCATTGCATTTGAATGTAGATATTGTCCTGTGCAGCATCTTGCTGCTAGAGGGTGCTGTTCATAAAGGAGATGAATAATGTTAAGATGCGAGGTACTTTTTCTTCTGACAAATATGAGTACTTGATTTTTTTTTTACATGGCACTGCCACGCATTTCATTAAGATGTGATACCACAATGATATTTTAAAATTCAACTGCGTTTCTTTTAACATGGCACTGCCACACATTTGAAAGATGTAAACTCTAACACATCATGTCGACATATATCATCTCTGTCTTCTATCTGTGAGGACAACTTCTTCTGAGAGGCAGGTTCTTTTCAATGTAAATATGCTTCTCTGCATTATCAGTGAGCCTGTTTCTGTATGTACAGGTCTTCCAAAAATGCTGCCATTTTAAATGCATTTATGTCGAATGTTATCCTAATCATCAGTTGAAAACGTTTGTTTCCAATCATTATACAAATATCTATTTAAAAAAAACCGTCTGAAACTTTTCGATCACTTATTGTTTGCCACTTCACATTTTAAAGTCACCCCCCATAAAGGTCTTAATTATTTCTTAAGGTGTTTATCGCTACCATCTTTTGCGCTTTTATTTTGACGACTGTACAGCTTCACGGTCTGTGTTCTTTTGTGGATATTGTATGAATGCTGTGCGGATGTCTCTGGTAAGTGGAACCTTTCTCTACACAGAGTTGCCGCGGACACTAAAACACCCTAACTCTTGAGTGTGTCACATTTATAGTGTTCCGGTGGTTTGTTGTTTTAGCTTGTTGACAGAGTGACTCTGTGACTGTTGTCTTCCTGGTCCGTTCATTCAGCCGCACTCATCGCTCCTGTTCTCGGTGTTATCGCTCCCAGTTTCCTGGTCAGTCCAGACTCCGAAGCTACTTTCTATGAAACCACAAGCAGCAGATCTGTCACTTGGCTGAACGGAACACACAGGGTTGGATGGCGTGACCCGTGAGTGCCACTTAAATTCAACTTCCATGAGCTGTTCTACAAAACATCGTTAATGACCAAAGTGCATGACAGTAACACCTCTAAATACTGAGTGGAGTTTTCCTCTCCCTGTCCATGGCAGCAGGTGCTCTCTCCTGAGGCTGACAACCGTGCAGGATGTCAGACAGTGGGAACCAGTCCTGTCTGATGGGAGCAGAGGACACCGTCTCCTTCCTGGTATGAACTCTGTTCCTCTACTCCTGAAAGTTACCACCTGGCAGGAGGCGCTTGATATTATTGTGTATTTGATCACATGTGGCTGCAGTCTTGTTATGAGGCCATGTGTGTACCTGTTGGGGGCTGGTCTTTGTTGAAGGTTGTTGGTATCCACATGATGAAGAGCTTGAGAAAGACACTGAACCCTAAACTGCATCTTTTTATGTGTCAAACTGGAGAATATCCTCTGTCAAATGAAAATAATACTTTCTAGCTTTTAAAAAGGAGAAATACACCAGGGTTATTGATTCATACAAAACAAAGTGGTTCAAGGAGTATACTTTGCAGGAGGCATCTGCTGGGAGGGGGAAACAGAATTAAAAGAAAAAGAATCATCATTGACGGCCACTTTTTTGTGCCCATATTAGGTTTGGCATGGTTCATGATTTGCAGTCTTTGCTTAGACTATAGGATGCATATTGCATCTCTGTCCTTCCAGCCAGCTTTGTGATTCCATGGATGAGTTGTAAATGGTAAAATGCTCTGTATTGATAAAGTCTTTGATGACCACTACGGTACAGGTTTGCCATTCAACAATTCACACAAATTCAGAAAGTGCAATACTTTCTCTATTGTATATCACTCATGCACTGTCGGCACAGCTGTCAGGGCCAATTTGGGGTTCAGTGTCTTACTGTAGGACACTACAGAATGGAGAAGCCTGGAATCCAACTACCGACCTTCTGATTAGTGGACAAACCACTCTACCTGAAGAGCCGCAGCTGCCCAGTGAGTCCTCTAGCACCGATTCATATATGTACACTGGACCATGGGATAGTTCACTCAGAAATGCATCCCAAGTTTTGTATGAACCTGGTAACACTTGTTTGTGAACCGTTTCTCATGTTTTAACATCTGTTGCAACAGCATCTCTGTGTGTGTTTTATGAAGGTGTGTAGGCTCACACTACCACTACCCTCACCCCTTTTTAAATTGACCCTAGAAATAATATTACATTTTGGGCAATGCATCAAAAATATAGTTTTTACATGTTGAGGTTTTTAGATATTCACCTCTTGTTTACTTGTTCTGCTCAAGTAATATGTCAACAGGACTAACTGATACAGCTGCATTTACAGTTCTAAGCATGTCACACGGCTGGCTGTTCTATACGAAAAGCCAGTGGTCCACCAAAGCGGATCAAGCATGAATATCTGTGCATAACAATCCAGCCAGTAGATGTGGATATGTTTTTCATGCGGTGATGTCTTGGTTCGCAGGTGTGTGTGTTCCATGTGTGGGAGGAATGGGCTGGTCTTGGTCAGATGGAGGACTACCTGAGCGTTTTGCAGTACCTGCTGTGGGTCTTCACCCCTCTGGCTATCGTCTTCATCGTGCCCTTCCTCATCGTCATTCTCCTCTACCTGTCTATACTCTTCCTTCATGTCTATAAGGTACGCAGACACTTTCTGGCACTGCATGAACAGTGAACCACACTTTTGATTTTACAACCACTCAAAATGCCATCTAGTAACTGTAGGTACATATAATCATTTCAAGTAATAGCCTGCCTGCTTGAGTTGACTGACAGCTTCACATGTTGATCTACTGTGGTACTTGGATGAAGTCAGACCTGTTACATTTCTGCAACATGGCACAAGACAAGAGAAGAATGCTGCTAGTATGCAACAGCTTGGTGTTTAACACACAGAGATTAAAACTGCATCAGCTAATCGTGGATAGTTGTCGTTGATTGTGATCATGGTTGAAGCTGATCATGGATCGTGATGGTAGATGTTTTCTTACTTTTCTTCATACCTATTAGACAGTTGGTGAGTAGGCAGCAGAAGTCCTTATTCTTTCTGAGAGAGAAATTGTTAAGAATGTTTATGATGATTGGTCAAACTATGAGAATACGGCTTCAGCAGCAAGGATAAAAAACCATCAACACATGATGTCATTAGCAGTCATTATCTGTTGTACCTCCAAGTTAAGATTAAAGAGTTCTCTTCTCTTGAAAGTTGGCAATGAATTCATTATTACAAATAAAGGTCTAATTCATCTAGTTCATCTATTTGGATATGCATTTTCAAGAATTCTATCAGAAGGGAACTAAGGGTGATGCAAGTGACTTAACTAGTTTCAGACCAACAGAGACAACCTGTGGTTCATGAGATAGAGAGGGTTGTCCACTGATTCCTCCAGTCTGCATGAATCCCAAATTATATACACTGCTCAATTAAGCGCTGTATGTGTGTGAATGACTGAATGCTTAAAGGTTTAGTGTGTAAGATTTAGGTGAAAGGGATCTATTGGCAGAAACTGAATATAAAATAATCCTCATGATGTTTTCACAAGTGTGTTTCATCTAAATTGTACAAATTCTTGTTTTCTTTTCCCTAGAATGAACCATATATATAAATACTTTATATTTAAATTGGGAGGGGGTCCTCTCTACGGCAGCCACCATGTTTTTTTTTCACTATCCCAGACTGGACTAACACCGTTTGAGTATTTATGATGACTGAAGGATGCCACAGGTTCTCTTTGATGTTTGGAAGGGGAGGGTGTGGTGAGGGGTGTTCAGCTGCAACATTCAACTTCACCTCTAGATATCTGGGAAAGTGCTGTAAAGTCCATTTACCATTTACAATTGTCCTGTTCCCGTCCAGTGCAGTGTCCACATTGTTTAAATATTTGTGTCCATCTGAGCACCCATGGGTTTATTGGTCTTAAAATGAGGTCAGTTTTGTGTGCAACTCTGCTGCATTGCATTTGCATGTAGATATTGAACCCCCTTTACACACACACAGTGAATCCTGCAAAGAATATAGGCTGCGCCACAGTTTGTGCAGACTTTATACTTGGGGGTCAGGTGGAGAAAGGTGGAGAGGCTCTCACTTGAACATTTGCATTCACACATGCAGCCCCTGCTGAAACACTTCAGGTGATCTTCAGACTCACATGTAAGTGCATGTCTGAAAGCAGCCTTATTAATACTAAGACTAAGCCTCACCCTTTTTCTGTGTTTAACCTGACTGAAAGACATCAGAACTGTTGTTTTGTGTTAAGAAGTTGTTGAGCTGTTGGAACTGCTTTTTCAGTTATCTCACTCAAAAATCTGGGATTTGATATGTTTGCTGATGTGTTTAGAGTGTTTGCTTTTAAGAGAGGCTTGATACCGGCAGTTTTCAGGGCCTGTGAGAACACACCTGAGAGAGGGGACATAATGGCTATTTGCAGAATAACTGAGGCAATGCATTTGGAAACATTTTGAAGAAGCCTGTTTGTAGAATATCAAAGCAGCAGGAAGAGAATTTCAGATGTATTATGTCCTCCTAGTTTTTAGTACCAAATTTGAGTGGACACAGGAGCAATGCCTCCTGCACCTGACTGTTTTATTTTTTTTAAAAAAATTCACGGAACAAGGGTGCAAAATCATTACAGGCACTGGTGGATTGAAGTTAAGACGCATCTGAGAAAGGAGGGTTAGTTAGCCTGTCAGGGGTAGCAAACAAGGCACATACACTATTAATGTTATTGGTGATGATGTTAGAGAAGCCTCCCTTTCATTTTTAACTTCCATATTATAAAGGTGAGGTCTGTCTTTATAGATGTCATAATGTACCTTTTGTTTTGTTTTGTCTATCCTGACCAGCAAGGCATTTCTCCATGGAGATCTTTTCTTAACAGAGAACGTCTTTTTAGGAGAAATGGCATTAGTAACACTTCTCATTTTAGAATTGAGGTGATCAAAAAGTTCATTGGCTGAGCCACAAGAGAGGGCAGGTGTGTGAGGGAAAGCCTGAATAAAAATTTCTATGTGATTTCTATGATGTATAATTTTGTGATGACAATGCATAGTGAAATTGTTTTTGTTCCTGCTACCAGAATAGTGTTAAAAAGGTTATTTTTGCCCTAATGCTATAAAGTGACCAGTGAATAATAATAATAGATATTAAATATTGACATTTACATTATTGAATATAAACATGTTAAATTTACAATATTGCAGTATATACAGTATTACAGTGCAGGTGATTGAAATAGTCCAGTTCAATGCTCACTGTTGAGCAGACGGATGGCCTGTGGAAATGTCCTGCAGGTCGGGTAAAGTTGTTCTGAGTTGTTCAAATAGAATTTGAGAGAAAATGGAAGTAGGGCAGGGTCCCAGCAGTAACCAGCTTTTTCATGTGAGGGGAAGGTAGCGTCCTCTCTCTCTTTGCTCAGATGTTTCTCACGATTGAAGCTCACTTCTTATTGGGTGTTAGGGGGCTGTCCTTCAGGGTATCTGCTGCGTTATGGTTTCCTCCTATTTTGATTTATTTTGTATCTTGTCATTGGTAGAGGGAACAGATGTGTTACACAGGAAGATGTTATGGATGTATGTCATTTTGTCCTGCCTTATCGATATTAAGACCTTCAGACTTAAAAGGCTTTAAGGGGGAGGCCAGTTCACCTCCTGGGCACTGAACTGCCTAATTGCTCCCCGGGCGCCTTCATGGCTGCCCACTGTTCCGTGTGTGGTCACTGTGTGGATTGTGTTCCGTGTGTTCCGTGTGTGCTCCATTCACACGGATGGGTTAAATACGGGGTCAAATTTCCCCATGTTTGCATGTTGCATGCTGTGTGTGGGACCATAAAGAGGAATCTTAATCTTAAATCCCAGAACATTTTTACTTGTCAGTCAGGTGCACTGAATGGACAGAACATGCAGTTTTAAGATATGTGTTCGTGGCCTGGCCTACATTTTCCTGAATCTCTTAGCTCCTCTTCTGATGGTGGTAGAGGGCAACTAACAAATACCTCAGTATTCAGACACCTCACTGTGTTCAACAGTTAAATAAAGTCTTATTTCAGAATTAGTAATGCTTTTTTACACTGGGTTAATGTCAAAAACATAGTATTTTGGTATTATTACTGCGCTTGTTTCTCATGTTTTTCACACCAAAGTCACCCACAATCAAATTTTGAGGCCAACTGATTAGTATCCCTGTATCCTATACTTTCTGATGTACTCTCAGTTATTACGCTTATATGTGAGTGAGAGGTTATGCAGGTCATTAGCTCTCAACTTCTGTTTTCTGCTTTGTACAGGAGTTAAGGGATGAAAAAGCAGGTTAGCCAGTCCTATAACAGATCTCAGGGTGCTGGTTCCTCCCTGTGTCTCGTCCCCCCATCTTCCAGGGAAATAATTTAATGCACTCAGTTCCAGGGGGATGCCACTTTTAGATTTCGTATCTGTTACATAGCCCTCCTTTTTTTTGGCAGTCTTGTTGGTGCTAGTGAGCTGTGTGTTAGCAAGTAGTGGCATTTCCACAAAATCCATTTACTTCCACATTCATTTCTAACTGGTGAATTTTGGTTTCTAGCACTGACATTTTCTGTAAAAGTTTAAGGTAGTCACCTGCAGGGGAAGGGTGCATCTTGCTGCTAATTAGCTTTGGCTAAGTACAATGTATCTGGTCACTGCAGTGCAAGCTTGTGCCACACTCACGCAATACCAAAGAGGTTATTAAAAAAGCATTACTGACTGCCTATTTAGGTTTCCACTGCCTGTAATGAACTATGTAAGACTTTGGAGTCAGTTGAAAAGGCACTGATAGACAACACTGCAGTCTCTAAGGCAGACCTCCAAGCCGAAGCCACTTCGGCCCTGTGCTTATCAAACTCTATGCAACTCTGTGGAAAAATCCAAAAACCCTAGTCAAAACAGAAGACTGTTCATCTTCTGGCAATTGTGGCAACTGTATTTTAGAGACATTTGCTGCCTTGTTAAACCACAGTCACTGCAGAAAAGAAAGACATCAAAGCATGGTCTGCACAAAACAATGTCTAAAAGAAGATGACATACGCTCTTCATTTTCAAACTCACCTTCTGTAACTACATCTGCATCAACTTCATCTTCATCCCCTTCTCTTTCCTCTTTCACCCTCCTGTCTCCCAATCAGGTTCTTACCCTGTTAACCTCCGCCTGCCCAACCACCTGTCCCCTTGACCCCATCCCCTCTCACATTCTCCAATCTATTGCTCCAGACCTTCCTTTTCTCGCTCATCTCATTAACACTTCCCTGCTAACTGGCTGTTTCCCTAACTCTCTTAAGGAGGCAAGAGTTAGGCCTCCCCTGAAGAAACCCACCCTCAACTCGTCTGAAGTAAACAACTACAGACAAAAGTGTCAGCTAAATGAAATGTAATGTAATGCAAAGTAACTGTACTGGTTCAATACAAGGCAGACCCTGGAAGTAAACCTGTAGCAAACTTCAAACCATAGATGTAACCCCTGCTCCTGAAAAAGTGGGTGCTGTGAGAGAGAGTGAAAGAGCAGGGAAAATAAAAACAACAAGTGTAAAACCAACATATTTTCAACCCTGTCACCAAGTGCAGGACAGGAAGCCATGGAAAGTCAAGAATGGATAACTAAAGCTTACAGTACCAAGGACTCACTTACCTGCTCAATGATAGCTAAGAGCTATTAGCAGTGCTAAAAGACAATATAAGAACAAAGTGGAGTCTGACTACAAGGGCTCCAACGCTAGAAACATTAGGTCTGGACTAGAAACTATAACAGACTATAAAAGAACAACAAGTGGTGCCGAGGAAGTGTGTGCATCTCTCCCAGATGAACTGAACACATTTTATGCACGCTTTGAGAGACCCCCGG